AAAAAAGTTATTACTTGTTTCCACAGTATTCATTCAGAGAACTTTGTCATGAACGAGTCAAAAAATGATATGTAAGCATCTTATTGTCTAGAAGTACCTATACTCAACTACCATTGTATTATTGAAGATACAGAGAGCCAAAGTAGAGAATTTTCAGAGCTCATTGGTCATGTGACACTGCATCTGAAGTTTTAAGTAGTTTTTACAGATTTATTTTGAAATAAAGGACTTAAAACTTAGATAAAATAAAACTTCAAATCATAATATACATTATAATATTAATTTCATTCACATACATTGATATTAAAGGTGTTTAATAAAATTTTAAATGTAACATAGTGAATTGAGCATTTAAGGGGGCTCCTGTTACAAAATAAATGATATAATTTAAAAAGTAAATTTCAAGTCAAATTTAGTGGTGAAAATAGATTTTAATTATATTTTATTAGAAGTTCTGGTATTTACTCTACTCTGCCATGAATTGTCACTAAATCAGCAATGCAGGACAAAATAAATAGTTGAATGGCACTTTGTAGAAGGTTGTGCCACATAAGGTTAATAAGCCTAACGAATAAAAAATTAATGTTATACTATTCAACAAACTTAACTGATCAGCTAATAAAAATATAATGTAAGACTTGTGTTTAGTTAGTCAAAGTTGCATTTTAATTTTGAATATATTTCCATCACATATGTAACAAAGTACTTGATTAGTTCAATTAGCCATATGTACCCAAAATTATTTCCTTGTTTATCTCCTCAAAGGCTAATAATAATTTTACTGCCCATGAATCTTGTCTAACTAATAAACTTGCCAAACAAATTGTAAATCACTCTTTGAACACACAGCTCAGTGTAATGCATGAGGAGATTTATTTATTTTTCATTATCTAACCTAATGCAGTTTTACTTTATATATTTTAGTTATTTTGCTTATGTTATTTAAATGCTAAAAGTGTTTTCTTTCATACAAAGTTATGGTAATGTCCTTCATAGTTACTTCTAAGTACATATGCAAATTTTAATTACAGATTTTAATGTGCATGCAGGTCTTAACATCTGCTACTGAATGTTGACTGATTCTGTAGTACAGGATTTGTTGGAATTATTATTTTTATTTTTGTAGCTTAACGGCCCAGAAGTTCCTCTTCAGAATGGATTGGCGAGAGATGTTGCTACTGCCACTCAAGGTTTTGGTGAATTGACATTTGAAGAAGACGAAGAAGATCAGTACTATGCAAAAGATTTACCTGATCATGCTTGCAAGTAAGAAGATTCACTTTAGTGACTTCTGGAGCAATAAATAAAAAATATACATGAAAATAAGAAATATAGTACTTACCTTTGGCCTCTTGTTATTTATCTTGCTAATGGTTGCTAATGAAGTTTAAGCCTAATTTTTTCTACTGATGGTACTAGTAGACTAAATTTTTATTAACTTAAATAATGCACCTAAGAACACAGAATGATTACACACAAGATGTCCTATAACTATTATTATTTGAATGGCTTTCTAACTATGGCATAAGAGCCTTAAAATAATTATATAAGCTTCTCAATCTGAACCAGGGCTCATGCTGGCCTCCTAAAACATACATTTTTAGGGGCTTATTGTATAGCTCATTGTAAAATGTACTTTATAGTGAAGGTTATCTGAAAAATCACTGAATTAATTAGCAGATGTTACATAAATTGAAAATTAACTAATGATATCAACATATCTCAGTTTATGTTGTTGTGAACTCTTATTTCATGGAAAAAACACCAGTCAAACCATTTAATTTTTGTCAGATAACTGAAATGATTATTTCATATATATATGAATATCAATTTTTTTTCTAATAAATGGTATAACTGTAACTTTCTTTTCCCCTTTAAAGTAGTGTCCTGTAAAAATCAAAATAAATAATGAAAGAAAATTTATGCATCACTGCCAGTGTAATCTGTTCTTTTGTTCCCTTTTAACCCTATAGCCCCTGGTGCGATTTATAAATTCCTTTCTGCTTATAGTACTGTGTTACATTCAAAATTGAATTAAACAACTTTACTATCAATATATATCATTGAAAGTATCATTATAAGGTTTGTTATAATTTGAATTTTTATGTTATCCAATTATTAATTACTTTGTTTCAAAGGATACCTTTCAAAAAAATATTTCAACTGCAGTTTTATTGTCATGTGATCCATGCACTTTGAAAAATCTCAACTTTAGCAGCATTTTGTTCTTAATCACATGAGTTGGCAATATATAGGCATTTCTACACACTAACTACGTGTGTTTGACCTAATTGACACATGAGATTTAAAGACCTACAACTGTATTCACTGATAAAGAGAAAGAGATTTTCAACCCTTGATGGTTGCCATGCCCACCTTCTATACTTCACCTTGAGATCTACAATGTACATGTACAGGGTTCTCACTAGTGTCCCAGAATCAACTTTTTTGTCAGTGAGATTTTTTAGGTCCCATAGGTATAATTTAATAAACTAAAAAAAAAAAAATGCATTTCACTGTCAATGAAAAACTACTACATGTTTACCTTCTGCAACTCAAAAAGGGCATGTTAATGTTCAATGAAAAACTTTATTTACAGTTTACACTGCATTTTGTTTCCCTTTATGACTGCAAAGTAATTTTTATGATAAGATTAAAAATACTTCATCTGAAAATTTTCAAATAATATTAACATAAGCCCTAAAACTTCATAAATAAATATTAAATGTTTTTTGTTGTTTTTTCAGAAAAACATTGCATTTAATCTGATATTTTCTTTACTCTAACTCGATATGAGGTTAATGGATTTGACCAACTTCATGACCACCATAAAAATTAGTAAATAATTATAAATTTCTCCATTTCCTTTTTGTAATGACTGCAAGTTGTAACAGAAACCCACAACTGAATTACATAATTCGCAGACTAATCTTGAACAAACCTCATAAAAACAATTATGCATTTTACTTTAGCTAAATTAAAAAGTTTTCAATTTTTACATTTTACTTTTATAATAATAAACACAGAATACACATGAAAAACAAGAAATAAAGTATTTAACTGGGTCATTTTTTTTCTTTTTCTCTTGACTGTCAATGAGACTTAACCATACTTTTTTATACAAATTATACTACTGCGTTAAATAATTTCTGTTTAATTAATTAATGTACCAAAGAATACAGAATAATAACATGCAAAAAGGAAAATGTTCCATAACTATCACAATATTTCTGGCTTTCTAATTGTGCAACAAAAGCCATTAAAAATTCAGCTAAGCTCGTCTATATGTTTCCCATGGGAATAAAATTTGAACTGGAAGGAAAATAGACAATTCTCTGTACAGACAACAATATAATATAATATGCCATTTGTTACAGAAAAACTTTGGCTTTCTGTTGGTTATAAATAACATAGTTTTAAATGTCAGCGAGAACTATTGGGAAGTTCTGAAAGAGAGGATTTGACAGATGGGCATGGCAAGAGGGGGTCTGATTTTCTGTTATTGCTCTGTAAATAAATAAGATTGAAGGCTATGTAAATTATGCTTTGCTTGAATGATGAAAACATTATAATGAGTAATGTACATTAAATTTGTACTTCTCAGAGGGGTGGTAAAAAATTAAAGTTCTCATGAGAATTAAAAAATATTTCCTTATACAATTAAGAACTTAAAATTTAAATAATATTAAATTATAATTTATTATCTATGTTCTGATGCTAGTTTATTCATATACATTGATAATAAAGTAGTTAAATTAAAGTTTGAATTTAACTTTTTGAAAGTCTGTGACATGCACACTTTGACCTGCCCAAGGTGAAAGAGTTAATCTTGTGGTGCTTTCACATGACTTTATTTTTGTGCAATATATTGTCATTGACAAAACCTGTTAGAAGCTAGACAACTGTGTGCAAACTGTATAGTGTTTAGCTTGTTGTAGTACAAAGTTCATTCAGCAGTGTGTATTTGGGACCCTAGTGGGCTAAATCTCTTAAATCCCAACAAATTCTCATGCATATGGGACCCAGAAGTTTGGGTTTCTTAGAATCGTGCATTTAGTTAGTTGACACAAGTTTATATAGTCATTAGAAAGAGCTCAGTTTAAGCTATACTACAGATTAACCCTATTGCCCCAGGTATCCATTAGTGTACATGACACATGGTTTTAGTGTCTTATATTCAAAATTTTATTAAACCACCTTTTATTTATGTTATACCAACTAGAATAGCATAAAATCTTAGCTAATTATCCATATTTTAATAGTGTACACATTTTAAGTTTTCATTCTACAAGGCATTATTAAAAAATCCTAAATTTCCACTAGTGTGACCCACATGACACATTTTTCATAGCATGTCATCATCCTTATTTTATCCACCACCCCTTGGAAAAGTACTAAATTAAGCATAATTTACTCTAAAATGATATTGCTCATACAAACCATAATTTTTATAGTCTTCAATTTTGTTTGGTTACAGAATAAAAAATCTCCTGCCACACTCACTTGTCACATCCTCTTATTTACAGTTCATTGATAGTTCTCTCTTACGTTTCATTATATATTACCTATAACTGATAGAAAGTCAAAGTTTTCATCTATCAGATGACGTATTGTATAACATTGTGTTCTGAACAGAATATTGTCCATTTCACTCACAGCGCAAGATTTGTTTCTGTGGGAAAGTTAACAACTAGCTTGGATGAATTTGTAACGGCTCTTGTTGCATAGTTAGAAAGCC